AGCAGTGCCCCATACCCAATGATCCCCAGTGGGAGAACGCCTCTCCCCTTCAAGGGGTCACCAGTGCCCCATACCCAATGATCCCCAGTGGGAGAACGCCTCTCCCCTTCAAGGGGTCACCAGTGCCCCATACCCAATGATCCCTGGTGGGAGAACGCCTCTCCCCTTCAAGGGGTCACCAGTGCCCCATACCCAATGATCCCTGGTGGGAGAACGCCTCTCCCCTTCAAGGGGTCACCAGTGCCCCATACCCAATGATCCCCTGGTGGGAGAACGCCTCTCCCCTTCAAGGGGTCACCAGTGCCCCATACCCAATGATCCCTGGTGGGAGAACGCCCCTTCCTTCAAGGGGTCAGCAGTGCCCCATACCCCATGATCCCTGGTGGGAGAACGCCCCCCCCCAATTTGGTCACAGTAAATGATCCCTGGTGGGAGAACGCCTCCCCCTTACAAGGGGTCACCAGTGCCCCCCCCCATGTACATAAGTATTCCCAGCCTCCCCATGTACATAAGTCACCAGTGCCCCATACCCATGTCCCCATGGTAGAAGTATTCAGCCCCCCCAAGGGGTCACCCCCCATGTACATAAGTATCCCTCCCAGAACGTCCCCCCTTTAAGGGGTAGCCAGTATTCCCACCCAATGATCCCCTGGTACAGAACGCCTCTCCCCCTTCAAGGGGTCCCAGCCCCCCCAATGTACATAAGTTATTCTCCCCTTCAAGGGGTCCCAGTGCCCCCCCAATGATCCCTGGTAAGAACGCCCAGCCCCCCATGTACATAAGTATTCCAGCCAGCCCCCCATGTACATAAGTATTCCCAGCCCCCCCATGTGTACATAAGTATTCCCAGCCCCCCCATGTACATAAGTATTCCCAGCCCCCCCCCTTGTACATAAGTATTCCCAGCACCCCCCCATGTACATAAGTATTCCCAGCCCCCCCATGTACATAAGTATTCCCAGCCCCCCCATGTACATAAGTATTCCCAGCCCCCTCCATGTACATAAGTATTCCCAGCCCCCCCATGTACATAAGTATTCCCAGCCCCCCCATGTATATAAGTATTCCCAGCCCCCCATGTACATAAGTATTCCCAGCCCCCCATGTACATAAGTATTCCCAGCCCCCCATGTACATAAGTATTCCCAGCCCCCCCCCATGTACATAAGTATTCCCAGCCCCCCCCCATGTACATAAGTATTCCCAGCCCCCCCATGTACATAAGTATTCCCAGCCCCCCATGTACATAAGTATTCCCAGCCCCCCCCATGTACATAAGTATTCCCAGCCCCCCTCATGTACATAAGTATTCCCAGCCCCCCCATGTACATAAGTATTCCCAGCCCCCCATGTACATAAGTATTCCCAGCCCCCCCCATGTACATAAGTATTCCCAGCCCCCCCATAATAATTATTCCCAGCCCCCCCATGTACATAAGTATTCCCAGCCCCCCCCCATGTACATAAGTATTCCCAGCCCCCCCCATGTACATAAGTATTCCCAGCCCCCCATGTACATAAGTATTCCCAGCCCCCCCATGTACATAAGTATTCCCAGCCCCCCCATGTACATAAGTATTCCCAGCCCCCCATGTACATAAGTATTCCCAGCCCCCCATGTACATAAGTATTCCCAGCCCCCCCATAAGTATTCCCAGCCCCCCATGTACATAAGTATTCCCAGCCCCCCATGTACATAAGTATTCCCAGCCCCCCCATGTACATAAGTATTCCCAGCCCCCCATGTACATAAGTATTCCAGCCCCCCATGTACATAAGTATTCCCAGCCCGCCCCCCCCATGTACATAACATAAGTAACGCCTCTTCCCAGCCCCCCCCCCCTTGTGTACATAAGTATTCCCAGCCCCCCCATGTACATAAGTATTCCCAGCCCCCCCATGTACATAAGTATTCCCAGCCCCCCATGTACATAAGTATTCCCAGCCCCCCATGTACATAAGTATTCCCAGCCCCCCCATGTACATAAGTATTCCCAGGCCCCCCCCCATGTACATAAGTATTCCCAGCCCCCCCATGTACATAAGTATTCCCAGCCCCCCCATGTACATAAGTATTCCCAGCCCCCCCATGTACATAAGTATTCCCAGCCCCCCCATGTACATAAGTATTCCCAGCCCCCCCCATGTACATAAGTATTCCCAGCCCCCCATGTACATAAGTATTCCCAGCCCCCCATGTATATAAGTATTCCCAGCCCCCCCCCCATGTACATAAGTATTCCCAGCCCCCCCGCCCAATCCTTTGTTGAAGCCCCTTTAGCCCCCATTGCTCGAGTCGTTCTGAGGATGATGCTACAAGCCTGGACACCTATTTTGGGGCGATTTCTCCCGTTGTCTTTGCTTTGCAGGACCTCTCCAGCTCCATCAGGTTGGATTGGGGGTGTCGGTGTCAGCCATTGTCAGATCTCTCCAGAGATGTTCAATCGGGTTCAAGTCTGGGCTCTGGCTGGGGCACTACAGGACATTCCCATCGTTGGCCCGTAGCCACTCCTCTGTGATGTGGGCCGTGTGCTGAGAGGGTCGTTGTCCTGTTGTTGATGAACCGTCTCCCCAGTCTGAGGTCCAGGGTGCTCTGGAACAGGTTCTCATCAAAGGATGTCTCTGTACATTTCTACATTCATCTTTCCTTCCATCCTGACTAGTCTCCCTGTTCCATCCCCAGCAGCATGATGCTTCCACCACCATGCTTCACAGTAGGGATGGTGTGACGGACAGCAGAAATATTCATTTTTTTGTGTGTTGCTGAAGTTCCTGGGTCTCACAGGGGGGAGGGGAAATGGGATGTATCTCCATATAGAACAAAGTCAGCATGGCTCTGTGTGGCTGGGGAAGTCCCAGGCCACTTCTTTAGCAGGAAGTTGTGGGTGGGGACAATTGCAGGGCCATGTGGACTCGTTGTTGGAAGAGCTGGAGTCATGATGGACAGGGCTACTCCTGCCTGAGCCTTTACTATAGGAGATGCTTGGGAGCTGTACTTTTTTATGTACACTTTCTGGCTGGTGAGTCCCGGGATGGCTACCCTGTGACCTGCCCTTCTGAGTGCTCCGGACCTCCTGATGCCTTCTGCTTGAGCTACCTTCTGCTCTGCTGGGCCCCTCTCCTGCCTGCCTGAATTGCCCCTCTGCTCTGCCCTGACCTCCTGCCTGCCAGAGCTACCTTCTGCTGTGGGCCTCTCCTGCCTGCCTGCCTGGAATTGCCCTGCCTGCTGTGCCCTGCTCCTGCCTCCTGATAGGACCTCCTTCCTGCCAGAGCTACCTTCTGCTGTGGGCCCTCTCCTGCCTGCCTGAATTGCCCTCTGCTGTGCCTGGACCTCCTTCCTGCCAGAGCTACCTTCTGCTGTGGGCCCTCTCCTGCCTGCCTGAATTGCCCTCTGCTGAGTGCCCGGACCTCCTTCCTGCCAGAGCTACCTTCTGCTGAGTGCCCTCTCCTGCCTGCCTGAATTGCCCTCTGCTGTGCCCGGACCTCCTTCCTGCCAGAGCTACCTTCTGCTGTGGGCCCTCTTACCTGCCTGCCTGAATTGCCCTCTGCTGTGCCCGGACCTCCTTCCTGCCAGAGCTACCTTCTGCTGTGGGCCCTCTCCTTGCCTGCCTGAATTGCCCTCTGCTGTGCCTGGACCTCCTTCTGCCAGAGCTAACCTTCTGCTGTGGGCCCTCTCCTGCCTGCCTGAATTGCCCTCTGCTGTGCCCGGACCTCCTTCCTGCCAGAGCTACCTTCTGCTGTGGGCCTGATTCCTTGCCTGCCTGAATTGCCCTCTGCTGAGTGCCCGGACCTCCTTCCTGCCAGAGCTACCTTCTGCTGAGTGCCGTCTTCCTGCCTGCCTGAAATTGCCCTCTGCTGTGCCGGACCTCCTTCCTGCCAGAGCTACCTTCTGCTGTGGGCCCTGCTTACCTTGCCTGCCTGAATTGCCCTCTGCTGTGCCCGGACCTCCTGCCTGCCAGAGCTACCTTCTGCTGACAGGGCCTGATTACCTTGCCTGCCTGAATTGCCCTCTGCTGTGCCCGGACCTCCTGCCTGCCAGAGCTACCTTTCTGTGCTGTGAGGCCCTGCTTTACCTTGCCTGCCTGAATTGCCCTCTGCTGTGCCCGGGCTGTCTTTGCCTCAACTGCCCCTCGGCTGTGTGCTAGAACTACCCGCTGTTTGCTGTGTGCTGAGCAGGGTCACCCCTGTTGCTGTCCGCTGTGAACCAGGACATCCCTGTCAGACCCGTGAGTTTATGCTCTCCTGTTTTCCCTGAACTGTTCTTGTACTCCCACTCCACCTACCTGTTGGATTACAACTACTACAGAGACTCACAGCCCACCCCCTGTTGGATTACAACTACTACAGAGACTACACAGAGGACTCACAGCGCCCCCTGTTGGATTACAACTACTACAGAGACTCACACGCGCCCCCTGTTGGATTACAACTACTACAGAGACTCACAGCGCCCCCTGTTGGATTACAACTACTACAGAGACTCACAGCGCCCCCTGTTGGATTACAACTACTACAGAGACTCACACCACCCCCCTGTTGGATTACAACTACTACAGAGACTTGGATTACAACTACTACAGAGACCTCACATCAGCGCCCCTGTTGGATTATAAACTGCTGTAGAGACTTTAACTTTAATAAATCTTTAAGTGTTTGCCGTCTGCCTTGTGTGTTCTGACCCGCTTACCCTCCGATCCCAGATTGGTTTATATTGGCCAGGTGATTGAGCGGTGCCTGCTTTCCTCCAGACATGATGGTTGGGCTAAATCAGAGTTTTAAATCAGAGTTTTTTTTCACCACAGAGATGTCACAACGGGGAAAAGCGTATTCCTGTCCTGAGTGCGGGAAAATGTTTTTCAGAGAA